GCATGGTGTACACAGAAATTGTTTTTAAAACAGACACACACAAAAGTAAAATAAAACAGACACAAAAATTGTCCAATAACAGTTGTACAAATGAAAATATTCTGGAAGCTTCTGTGAGAGTAAACGAAGGAATCATCATTATTTCCTACTGTAGAAGAGCAAATTTAGAATGGAAAGAGGTAATAAAGGATCCTTAGAAATAGAAAGATGTCAAAATTGGCATGTACACCAACAGCAAGATTAGGTTGCAGTCTCCCCTCCCTCAACCCTTTCCTCAACTCTGCCTTTGGAGATCTCTGTTTGGGCAGGAATTGGTCTTCTCTTTGGCTTTCCCTGCAGACCAAGGTACAGGCTTTCTCAGTTCTGCTAAGTCAGATATCACGCACTCACCTATTTTTATTTTATAAAATTAGTTTACATCTTTCATTTGTTATGGTCTCTTTAGCCATTATCTTTGGGGTTATGCTTTTGGGTCCTTTTTCTGTCATGTTAATGATTGAGGAGAGCATCTGTGTGTTTAATCTGAAACAGTTAATTGGAACGCTCTTATTGTTTTAATTTTCATTTCCTGGTTGAAAATGTTTTTCATCTTTATGGACCATTTTTACTGCTCCTTCATGAATTGCCTACTCTTATCTTTTGGCAGTTTTTCTATCAGGAACTAGTCATTTTCTTATCAGCATTTATAGTTTCTTTTTATATTATGTTTATTAATTCATTGTGTATAAAAATTGTTATAAATATCTTTTCTAGTTTGTCATTTACTTCTAATTTCTATGATTTTTGTACATGGAAAAAAGCTTCTTTTTATTTTTATGTATTATAGTTTGTTGAACTCATTATTAAAAGTATTAATTTTAAAATATTTAATGACTTATTGAATTATTAAATATTCCAGTGATTTTATGCATAGAATATCCTTACTTAGCCTTATGTCAGTAAAACACTTACATTACCCTCTTATAATTTTGTTTTTATATTTAATTTTCAACTCACCTGGAATTTATTTCATTGTGTAGTACAAGAAGAGATTTAAAAAGTCATTGAGAAATATAGCACACGTGCTATTAAATATATAAAACATAAGCATAGAATTATGAACAATTTAACAAATAATTTAAAAGCAAATAACCACTTACCACAATGTGAATACTTACCTAAGGATCTACTTTTGGGAGAACCCAGTAATTCATACTGGAAGTGGTCTAGGAGGCAGGATCTCCGATGGAATCCTTGAACTGGATCAGTCACAGGCCAGATAGTGAAAAAGACTGCACTGTTAGTGACAACTGAGTGTGGTAACCCCTGGAATGCTATAGGATCACTATTACTAAGAGTCTCATTCATGATGCATTGGGTCAGGATACAGGAGGAAGGGGATATATTGAATTTAGGCAATATCTCTGCCATTCAAGAGATATGGCAGCAGTAGTTGTCATAAAAGACTGCAGATGTAGATTCAGTACCAAAGATACACCACTGAACTCAAATGGTGGGCTCAGGTCAGCCAATCACCACTTCAGGACACAATGTAAAATCCAGGAAACCTCTATGACACCCACATGCACTCAAATTAGAGAATAATTTACTGAAAATCAAGCCTGAGTGTGTGAGTAGCAATATTGCAAAGAAAGTAGGCACTGCCCTGGCAAATTTCCTATGCTAAGCTCAAGGCCTTGATATTTGACATCCCATGCCACAAAACCTATGCTGGGACAACCTACTCACAGGACTGAGGATCCAACCTCATGCGCTGGGCCCTTGTCCCCAGCCACACTCAAATACTTGGCTTCCTCAACGCCCCCTAATGGAAGAAAAGGAAAGGGAGGGGAGCGTGAAGAAAAATAGCTTCCTGATTATTCTAAGGGCAAAACAAATGTAATTCACCACAAACTACAAAACAATCTTAACTGTCCCTCACATTTTTGGGATACTCTAAGTTACTCACCTAAAAATTAAGACTTATTTTTTAAAAAGTAATCATACTAGTGATTATCTATCTATAAAGCTGGAAACCTGGGATCAATATTCCATGTATTCAGCAAATATTTAGCTACAGCCCATACAACTGTTTACGGTCAGAGAGAAATGAATATTGGGCAGTTGAATTTAAAATATAGGCAATAAAATATGGGCAAAAGTCTGGATGGTGCAAGCTGAGGAAAACTTGGTCATATATATTTCATAGTGACATTATGTGGAAGAATTCCAGGAGTAACTTTCAGCTGATACAGTTGGGAAAAATCAATGCATGAGGAATAAATGTAATACAAACTGCTGATACTTCCAGGCTCTTGCTGTTTAAACAACCAAGCATATGTAGAAGATGGCTAGTCATTTTTCTGAAAGTCACCTTCCGGTACCTACTACTTCAAGCAATTATTTTTTGAAGTAGCACATTTTCCATAGTAACACTATCTAAAGAAATAGCTTCAAGAGTTGATTCCAACAGTACTCATACCAATCACATACAATTGGAGAACTTTCTCCCAAAAAAATAATTAGTGACTTTTCCTATTATTCAGCTTTACTTTATTCTCATCTGTGGTTCCCAGGGTTTTTTAGGCTTTTTTCCAGGTTTTGATTTTGTTTCTGTTCTTCTTATTTAACATATATATTTAAAGCAGAACCCAAATATTCACATAAGAATCCATCTCTGGCTTTCTGGCTCTTTAGGTGGGAAGGTCCAGGTCTCTCTATCTCTACACACCAACAAATAGACAAGGTTGAAGGAAAAACTGGTAAAGAATGATGTATTGAGTACCATTTTAACACTCAATTCTATTATAGCTTTATGCCTTTATAGAGATTACATCTCTCTTCATAAAGGTATAGAAGGGTAGAAAATAGTAGATAGTATAGAACAGCAATTTTCAACCTTTTTCATCTCGTAGCACACATAAACTAATTACTAAAATTCTGCAGCTGACAAAAAAAATAGGAATAATTTTGATCCACTCTCACCAGACAGCTATTGTTGTGTTGACTGTTATCATTTTTTCATTTGACAATGTAAGGTAAAAGAGGTTAGTGACCCTGACTAAATAGTCAGGTAGTGCATGTTTTAAAAATTCCTGTGGCACATTGAAAATCGCTGGTATAGAATATATATTAATATATTTGTTTTTTCTCCAATCCAGTCCCAGAGATTCTTCTGTCCAAGGAGTTCTAAATGGCAGGTTAGATCAAGTCCCTGCGCATACTAGCGAGAACAACTTCCAGTGGATTCTGGGCACAATGGCGTCTTGTTCCAGAGACCTCTTCTCTCTCTGCTGACTTTTCTCTCCATCCTCTTCTCTGGCGGAAGAGACTCTTATCTGGACCACAGCCACCGCTAAAGGAAAGGGCTGAACTAGGAGCAGCCTGTTGGGTCCTACTCCTGGGCCCCAAGGTCGCTAGCTACTTCATGCGCCCGGAGGTGGAGCGGTGTTGGGCGCACGCCGGGGCGTGCCCAGGGCCGGGGTGTTTCTGATTGGCTTTTTGCTGAAAATAGGGGAGAGCAGACAACTGGGACCCGAGGTGGGAGAAAGGTCCCAACTGGGCGCAGAACCTCCAGGGCTTTGGCTTCGGTTGCGCTCTGGCCCGCTGCGGTAAAGGGGGGGGGGGGGGGGGGGGGTACATCCCCAGGAATCGTAGGGGGGTGGGGAGGGGAGGCTGTGGCTTCTGCGTGCTGCCAGAGAAGCCACGCGCCGCGCTAAACCCGGGGCTCCTGGAGCAGAAGGGCAGGCACCTGCGGACTCTGAACCTTACAAGTGTTCCGGGAACGCCGGCGCCTTTCCCTCTCCTTTGGGGACGCCGCCTCGGCTCCGCGTTTACGAGTCAGGAGTCCTGCTGGGGATGTGGGCTATCAACTATCCCGGCCCCAAAACTCCTCAGAAGAGAGTTTTCTGCAGAAAACATAGTAGCTGGCCGCGGGGCGCTGGGGAAAGGACGGGGAGCACTGAGGCATCTGGCATCTGGTAGGCGTGCCACCGTTTTACTTTCATGGAGAAAAAGATCACCCAAAGCCCATCTAGACGGAGGTGCAACTTGAGAAACGTATCCTGAGACGGTTTCACTTTTAATTATTCCAACATTGATTTTTTTTAATGGTCTTCATCCTTTAGCAATTACGCACCTATGAAATCTTTACCTACACATCCATGTAGCCTGTGCATGCACGTGTCATCCATGTATCCATGGACATGGGGAGATTTTGAATGCGTAGGCACACACAGTGGAAGCAGCAATCCTCGCCGGGAGGCAGCCAAGGGCGGGAGCGCTTCCTCGCGCCCGGCACGCCCTGCCTCACCCGCCCGGAGCCGCCGGCTCGTCCCCCCGGAGCGGGGCTGGTCCCCCCGGAGCGGGGCTGGTCCCCCTGGAGCGGGGCTGGTCCCCCCGGGAGCGGGGCTCGTGCCCCCGGAGCGGAGCGGGCCGGGGCGGCCGCCGGGAGTCCGTCCGCTCCGCGCCGGCTCCCGCACCCCGGCCGCCGGCCCGGGGACACAGCACCGGAATCGAATTACACCCCGCAATTAACATATGAATCCAGCGGACCGGGAGCCGGGGGGCGGGGGGAGGGAGGAGCGAGGGGGGCAGCCCCGGCCGCGGCGCCCGGCGCCCGGGACGCAGGAACTTGCCGCCGGGCGCACGAGCTCTCTGATTGGCTGCCCGCACGCGCCGGCCCGCGCCCGCCATTGGCTGCGCGGACACGCGACCGGCGCGAGGAGGGGGCTGGGAGCGGGGCGGGGGGGAGCCGCTCCGGCGCGTGCCGCTTTTTAAAGGGGCGCAGCGCCTTCGGCAACCGGAGAAGCTCCGTTGCACGCGACCGGGTGTGTGTGATCTCAGAGCGGGTGGGGGAGGGTCGAGGAGGGAGAAAAAAAAAAAAAAAAAAGAAGAAGAAATAAGACATTGCAAGTCGAGACCCGGGAAGGGTTGTGTGTGTGGTGTGTGTGTTTTGTGGAGCCGGTGTGCCAGTGCCTCTCCTTCGACTCTTGAGCCTCCGAACCAACCTCTGCAGTGCGATGTCCCGCCTGCTGCACGTGGAAGAGTGGGCTGAAGTGAAGGAGTTAGGGGCCCACCACCGCCATCCCCCGCCGCACCACCTCCCGCAGCCGCCGCCGCAGCCGCCCGCGACTCTGCACACGAGAGAGCATCCCGGGTACCCGGCCGAGCTGTCCCTCCTGGACGGCACAGACCCACGCGCCTGGCTGGCTCCCACGTTGCAGGGCATCTGCACGGCACGCGCCGCCCAGTACCTGCTGCATTCCCCCGAGCTGGGGGCCTCGGAGGCGGCGGCGGCGGCGCCCCGGGAGGAGCTGGACGGCCGGGGTGAGCTGGCGGCGAGGAGAAGCGGCGGCGGCAGCAGCAGCAAGAGCCCCCCGGGCCCGGTGAAAGTGCGCGAACAGCTGTGCAAGCTGAAAGGCGGGGTGCTGGTGGACGAGCTGGGCTGCAGCCGCCAGCGCGCCCCTTCCAGCAAACAGGTGAACGGGGTGCAGAAGCAGAGGCGGCTGGCGGCCAACGCCAGGGAGCGGCGCCGGATGCACGGGCTGAACCACGCCTTCGACCAGCTGCGCAACGTTATCCCGTCCTTCAACAACGACAAGAAGCTGTCCAAGTACGAGACCCTGCAGATGGCCCAGATCTACATCAACGCCCTGTCCGAGCTGCTGCAGACGCCCAGCGCCGGGGAGCAGCCGCCGCCGCCGCCCGCGTCCTGCAAGAGCGACCACCACCACCTCCGCGCCGCCGCCGCCGCCGCCCCCTACGAGGGCGGTGCGGGTACCGCCGCCGCCGCCGGGGCCCCGCCGGCCTCCGGAGCCGGCCAGCGGCCCGCCCCGCCCGGCGGCTGCCGGACTCGCTTCTCCGCGCCGGCCTCCTCCGCGGGAGGGTACTCCGTGCAGCTGGACGCCTTGCACTTCTCCGCGTTCGAGGACAGCGCCCTGACGGCGGCGATGATGGCGCAGAAGAGCCTGTCGCCGTCGCTGCCCGGGGGTCTCCTGCAGTCGGTGCAGGAGGAGAGCAGCAAAACGTCGCCCCGGTCTCACAGAAGCGACGGGGAGTTTTCCCCCCACTCCCATTACAGTGACTCGGATGAGGCCAGTTAGGGAGGGGACAGAATCCCTGAAAACACAGACACAGAAACAAAAATTGCCCCTTCCCGGTGCCCAAAGGAGAGCCCCGCGGTGAAAGAGCCCCGCACCCTGTTCGTGTTTGCGCGGCGACGGTCGTTGTGTAGCAACGACTTGGCTTCAGACGGCAGCTATTACATTGGATGGTTGGCAAAAGCCTCCGCGATTCCAAACTTCCTATCACGCGCCCGTCCCCTCCCCCCATGTTGTTTGATGAAAACTTGTTAAAAGTTGTGTTCTTCCCTCCCACCTTCCGCTTCCCCTGTAGATAGGTAGGCTATCATGGGTGATTATATATATAATCATGGATGATTTTATATATAACTATATATATATAGTTCCCTGCTGCCAATACGCTGCTAAAACATCGCATCTTTTCTATCGCTGGTTTGTGTTTAATTTATTTTATGCCCTGGGCATCCATCCATTCATCCCTGTGTGTTGCGCGCATTCACTTGCGGGAGAGTTGGTATTCCTAAATGGTTTCCCAAAACGCGTTCTGAAATTCAAAAGTTAAAACTTCCAAAGTGAGTGGCTTTTGACTGTGGCGTGGTTGGAAAACGGGGACCTTTGAAGTTTATATCTTGTATAAACGTACCCAGTAGGTATATCCAATCGCGAGAAAGTTGGCGTCTTTTTAGGAAACTTGGCGCACGCACTTTATCAGCCGCTCCTGCTGTGGCGGCTCCGGGACAAACTCAGCTGCCAATTGCAGACCAGTTTTGTTTTTTCAAACACGGCCACTTATCATCCTTAAGCTTTTTGCAAATGTTTTGTTTAAAAAATTAAAATTAAAAAAAAAACATATCCAGTAGTGTCAAAAGCATTTGGTCAATGTTATTTTTTTTTTGCCTTGTTAATGTTAGAACTTATTTATTATTGAGTGTTTGCTACCGTTTCTACTTATCTTGATTCATTTTTTACATTTTCTACTCAAGACCATTTTATTTTAAGTTAGCAAAGCCATTGCCATTGTTTTATGTATTTCCTTTTGCAAATGATAAAAATAAACTTGAAAATAACTGGTATCTGTCACTCCGTTCTAATGTAAGCATGGAAAAGTTTTAAAATAGCCTTGAAGAACTGAACTCTCTTCTAGTAAGTGCCAATTTATGCAATCTAAGGGTTTTGAAGAACAATTCTGTTATATCTTCAAGTAAGATCAGAGACCCTAGGGGCAGAAAGCGCTGGTCAATAATTAAATTGGGAGATAAAACTTCTCGGGACTTTTTGTAATGATGTTGCTCTTGGGTAGTCAGAATCTTTCCAGTCTTTCTCATTCATAGCCTCCACAACCTCTGTAAGGCTGTGTGCAGGTCTCCTAGAATTTCGCCAGGAGTAGTGAACTTGACTAGGGTTTCCTATTGCCACTTCATAAAAACTAGCCCAGCTGAGAGCTTTTCTTGTTAAGGTCAAATTCATAGCACATGCCCATTCTTTCTCTCTCTCCCTCTCTCCTCTCTTTCTCCCTCCTTCCCTCTCTCTGGGGAGAAGGAGGTTTGAAGGCAAAGAGAAAAAAGAGAACAATGGAAAAGAACCCAAGAAAAGAGGTTAAGATTCATTGATTCAAAAATCAGAACCTGTAGTTATCCTAGGAAATTGTTGACCTTCACTCATTTTTTTTTCTTACAAGCAGTTCTGCTTCTTCCAATGTCCGTGATGATGTTTGCATTTATTTGTTCCTCCTGAATTAATAACCATGTAGAAAACATGTAACTACATTTTTAGTCAGTTGCAGAAACTAAAAGGTGCACTCTCTCACCTCAGGGGTTCTCACTATGTAATAGCCTATTCTGGGTGTCAGCAACATTCACTTTGAAAAAGCTAACACTGTGTGTGTGTGAGTGTGTGTGTGTGTGTGTGTGTGTGTGTGTGTGTGTGTAAAGTAGAAAGCGAAATTTTAAAAATGTATTTGGCAAACCTGAAGGTAGAACGATTTACTAAACTGACGATGGGCTATGTTCCACCGGATAAAAATATCACTGAATTAGGGAGATTGATTTCAAAACGAATCTTTTATCTCTTGTTTCTTCATTGGGGGTGGATAACAAATTGAGAGAGCAAGGAAGCAGGACAGAAAGCGAGAGATGGTTATTTTAATCGCTCTGCATCCACCTTTCCTCCGCAGCATCTTGAAAAGAGGAGAGCTTCCTAAACGGGGTGTGGAGAAAGCAATGCGCTAGGAAAGGGGATTCTGGTCCAGGGGAGAGAACTGCAGGGATAGCTGCTCACTGACCACCTGGGTCCCCAGGGGCTTTGGCTGATGCTTATGATGCAGGGGAGCCAAGGAAAGCCTGTGCCAGCTCTCTGGGAGAGAGGTGAACAGCAGTTCCAGGCGCTTTCCAGGGACAGAAACAGTGCACCTGTCCCTTAGATAACCTTTTGCACCCTTTGAGTTTGCTGTGCTCACGATAACCATCAGGAATCTTCTGGCTGCTGAATAAATCAAGCGATTGCTTCTAACACAATTCCATTTCACTCTCAATAAGCGGACTCAACAGGCATGGACACAGAGCAGGATGAACACAAACATATTTTTATAGTTATTTGGCTTGGTGTGTCTGCATAGATGTGGAGTGAGGGAGAGAGGGAGGGAGGAATGGAAGGAAGGAGGGAGGAAGGGAGGGAGAGAGAGAGAGTGAGAGAGCGCAGAATGCTTTTACCTGCTATGAATCTGAGTAGGGGAAGGACAGGACTAAGCAAAATAAAGTTGTGATTTTTTTTCCTCAAAAAAAAAAAAAAACTACTTCATTTTCAAATATCTTTATGTTCATTTTGTGTTAACCAGAGAAAAAAGACCCTTCCGAAATTATTACTTTCCTTTTCATGTGCATATAGAAATTTTAAAACAGAAATGACATCAGAAACGTCTTTGCAATCTTTTATAAATGCCCTTTCCCTGACTGACTGCAGCCAAATCACACAGACATCATGTCAATATCCAGAACTGGATCTTACTACTCCCACCCAAGAGGTCCATAATCCCTCAACTTTTCCTCTAAGAAATTTTGTGGCTGGGAGCTACATCTATGCAAATGTTCAGAGGGTTATGTGTGTTTTTCTTCTGGTTCCACAATAACAGCCAGATATTGAACTTTTAAGTGTCCGTGGCATTATATACAAATTGAAGATAATGCCAACTTCACTTAAGAAAGTCACTTAACATTTCCGCTCATGAGAAAAAAAAAATGATGATCAGATTGGACATTCTGTATCACACTGATGGAAAGTGTGGATGAATTCTAACCCATCACAGACAGGCACAAACAGCCAAATCCCTTTGTGGCAAATGAAGTGTTCAAAGTTCAAATGAGGACTTTAACCTCTTTTTCTTTCCCTCATTCTATTTCTTTCTTCTTATGCTGGCATTTCTCTGAGAGAGATGTACAATCACATTTCCATTTTAAGGTTCTGCTGTGGGGTTTGCATAACAAACGTTTGGCAGCTTGCTCTCTTACACTCCATTAACAAGCTGTAACATATAGCTGCAGGTTGCTATAATCTCATTAATATTTTGGAAACTTGAATATTGAGTATTTCTGAGCACTCATTCCCCATATGCCAGACCACTCCTGCCATGCTGACTGGTTCCTTTCTCTCCATTATTAGCAATTAGCTTCTACCTTCCAAAGTCAGATCCAAGTATCCAAGATACTAGCAAAGGAATCAACTATGTGTGCAAGTTAAGCATGCTTAATATCACCCAAACAAACAAAGAGGCAGCATTTCTTAAAGTAATGAAGATAGATAAACCCGGCTAGTCTTCTGCGACATTGCTGGGGCTTTCTAAAGTTTTATATATTTTAAGCAGTGTTTATATTCTGTCTTTGCCCTCTCCTCCCCACGCCCCCTACCATCACTCCCACCACCACTTTTATTTGTGGAGGATTTTGGCACACCACACTTAAGGAACCTTACTTGATTTCACAGAACGCTGAGGAAGAATATTTCTGGTAACTGAGACCATTTTAAGCTTGTTCTGTTTGGAACACTGCTAACTGGGAGGTCTTGACCAGAAAAAGAGGGGGGCATTAATTTTCTTCATCTTACCCAATGCAGGACCCATGTCTTTATTAGGCCTTTTTCTATTGATTTTTTTCGAGACCTAAACCTGAACCAAGTAAGCGATCTTTTATCGAAGGACATCTTGTAATTATTTCTCTCCTTTGTTCATCTGAAAGTTCAAGAAACATGATCAACTTCGTCTCGATTGTTCCAAGTTAGAACTGGAAACGAAAGTGCAGACCCACCTGGCTATGGCCACCTAGACGTGTCCGCTGCCTTCTGGAAAGACAGGCAAGTAAGTATGTGCTGGTGAGAGTTTTTAAAGATCACCTTTAGGAGTTGAATCGGTGGGTGGGGATGGGGGCCGGACCTATAACCACCCTGTAGGTTTCCCTCCCTGCTTTTGTCTGCTCTGGCCAGCCACCGTCCTCCTAAACCGACCAGCGTCCCAGACGCCAACTCCTGAGGTCCCTGCCCTTCTGCTAGGCCCGGGACAAGGGACTAGCCAAGGCTGCGGAGCGGAGAACGGGTTAAATCCTGGGACCCAGGGGAGGAGAGACGTCGGGGGAGATGAAGAAAAGGACAGGAACCAAGAAGCGTGGGGGTGGCTCGCCGTAACGTGAGTGTTTCTTAATTAGAGCGCGGCTGACAATAGCGGGGCTGGCGCGGCTCCTGGCCGCGGTGCGCGGCGTCTGGAGCGGAGCACGCGCTGTCAGCTGGTGAGCGCGCTCTCCTTTCAGCCGCTCCCCGGGGAGCTGCGCGGCCACATTTAACACCGCCGCCCCCCTTCCCCGCCGGCAGTCCTCCCCACTGCCCCCCTCCATCCCCCCCACGGGCAGAACTCACAGAAGCGAGCAACTCCGCAGCCCCCCGCGCCCGGGCCCGGGCCCCACTCCTCCCCCAGCTCCAGCTCCGCAGCGGGAGCCCGCCACTGCCCACTGCACCTCCCGGCAACCGGCCATCCTGAAAAG